CATTCGAAACCCCCGAAAGGGAAAAAGCCCGGTAGAGAGTGAGACTGAGGAGTCAACGAACATTGCAGAGAGCAAATTAAGGCTAGGAGGTAATATCAAACGACGAACTCGAATTTTTGACTCCCGAGGCCAGCAAAAGAACAAAAAGCGACAGGGGTCTCTGGTACCTGATGAGAGTAAAAGCAACAAAGATAGATAGAATGCGGGGCTCATAGACCTCGACAAAGACAAGCTGGTGGATCGACCTGAGTTGTCTGAGAAACAACAAAGTCAAAAGGAAAAAGGGTTCGATCTAGAAGAACGACTGGATCAGGCTGATTCACCATTTACAGAAGAAATCATGGGAAGAAGGTCCCTCCAAAATTCAAGCTACCAACTGTGAAGCAGTTTGATGGGTCAACCGACCTAGTAGATCACCTGGACACCTACCGAGAATGGATGGACATCTATGGAGTATCAGAAGCGATCAGATGCCAGGTATTCTCAACGATTTTGAGTGGGTCAGCTAGGGTATGGTTTCGACAGCTGAAACGACGGTCGATCTCGAGTTTCAAAAACCTAGCTAGGCCGTTTGTGACCCAGTTCGTGGGAGGATGGAGTTGAAGCCGACCCGTAGCTTATCTACTGACCATCAAACAGAGGACAACGGAGAGCTTTCACGACTACGTGGCTAGATTCAACGAGGAAAAGTTGCAGGTTGAAGGTGTCAGGGATGCAGGTTCTCTACTAGCCTTCATGTCCGGCATCAAGGACGAGCACCTTTCATTCTCTTTTGGGAAGTAAATGTCGAGCACATTCTCGGAGGCACTAAGCCGAGCTCAAAAGTACATGAGTGTAGGGGAATTCTTCTATTCAAAGAAAGAACCTGAGGGAAAGCCGACCTGAGGAAGGAAAGATCCAATGATAAGCTTCAATTTTCGAGATGGGAGAAGAGAGACCGGATCAAACAGAAGGATCTACCCCGAAAGTTCGAAAAGTATACCCCGACCACGGTCCCGCTCGAGCAACTGTTGATGGAAATCAAGGATCAAAGGTTGCTCAAATGGCCGGAGAGGATGAAAGCGCCTCCTAGTAAAAGAAGTGAAGGGCGATATTGCCTTTTCCATCGAGACCACGACCATGCCACCTAAGATTCCTTTGATCTCAAAGAGGAAGTGGAAGGACTCATCCGGAGAGGATATTGTAAGGAGTGCGTAGAGGACCCTAAAGCGACGCAGAATAGTGAGAATGACTGTAAGTCACCTGCTCGAGAAATCCGAACAATAATGAGAGGCCCAATAGAGGGAGAATAGGGCAGAAAGAGGAAGGCAAGCGTATGGGAGACTCAGACGACCCTCGGACGACATGAGGTTTGCCATGCATTTGTAGTAGAACCATAAGCAAGAATTGAGTTCTCTGAGGATGAGGCGACTCATCTACTTCACCCACACAACGATGCACTGGTCATCACTCTAAAAATAGCTAATGCGAAGGTGCACCGGATCTTGGTAGATAGGGGCAGCTCAGCAAATATCATCTCCTTGACGGCCTACAAAGCCATGGGTCTAGGAGACAAAGGTCTTGGTCGTCGACTACGCATCCTCCTATAATGCGATATTTGGTAGGCCGACAATGCACATGCTCAGGGCGATACCATCTACATATCACCAATTTATGAAATTCCCAACACCTAGTGGAATTCATGAAATCAAAGGAGAGCAGCGAGTATCTCGCGAGTGCTACTACACTTCGATGAAGGGTAACGACAAGGCTTTTACTGTGGGGGGCTATTGATTTCTTTTCCTTTCTTTACTCTTTCTCTTCAACTAACAAGTATGATGGATCTCAGATCATTCTCCTTTCTTTGGTTTTTTGGAAATTTTAGATTATTGATTTTGTATATTCAATAAAGTATCTGTTATTTGGGTTCCTTGTCAACTGTATCTTCACAAAAGTACCTTGTCTTATCTGCAAACATACTCTCAAAGAGCAAAAATTGACAATATGCTACCTTAAGAGTAAGGGCCATCGTATCTATAAGATAAGAGCGACAGATCATAATCGGAAGACTCGAGGAGGCAGACAGCTTAAGCTGAGCCCTGCTTGGATCAGACTCTTGCTCGGTGTCACAATCGCACCTTTTTAACACAGCTCAAGCGATTGTGCTGCACTTGCTCTAGCCCAAACGAACAAGTCAGCCGGGAAAAATTGTAAGTTGCAGACAATCTCGGTCATCGGTCTAACCTCCGCTCACGTTTTGAGAAAATTGGTTTTGGAAAACGTGAGAGAGAAAAATAGTTGAAAACATCTTTAAAATAAGCATTGAAACATTGGATGCAAGAAAGCTTTGGTTGCAAGAAAGTATACAACACTTGGTCGGGGGGAGGTTTGATGACTACTTGGTCCCCCCTAAGGTACATTATAAGGCATTTTTGGTGTGGCAGGTGTAGACATGCAAAGTGGCGAGGAGTCACTCGATGGCCTAGAGGCCCCGTGTGAACTCCGATTGGCTTGAAATTTGGCGTGCTTACATATCATACCAATACACACCTAGTTCCAAAGCCGTTCAGCCAAATTCCACCTACAACCCCAAAAACCCGATAGAGACAAACTACATTAGAAAGCTTTAAAGACATGAAAGTAAAGCGAATGGTGAGGATGGTTTGGACATGCAGCCATGGGTAACACACCCTGGACAAGCATGCCCACAACATTCTCCCCCACTTAAACGGCTGACGTCCTTGTCAACTGCTGCAGCTTCAAGTCCTCGATCTTCGTCTTCCAGGCTTCAATGCCTTCTTCTCGTTCCCAGCTGATCTCTGCATCAGGTAAGTCTTTCCATTTGACGAGGAATTCCCGAACTCTGCGAACGGGTCTCCCCACCTTTCTGATTCTCTCTGCAAGGATCTCTTCTGCTTCATTGTCTTCCTTCAGCTTTAAGTCGATGGCGGGCCGCACTACAGCATTGCGTCCATCATCCTCGAGGTCGGGGTGATAAGGCTTTAAATTGCTCACATGGATTACCGGGTAGATCTTCATCCAAGCTGGTAACACCACCTTATACGAGACATTGCCCACCTTCTTCACGACTTCTACTGGTCCTTCGTACTTTCTCAGAGTCTTTGATCTTTGCGCCCTCGGAAACAAATCTGTTCTGGCCTCAGCTTAATAAGAACCTTCTCACCTGCTCGAAACTCGAGAGGGCGTCGCTTGCGGTCGACCCATTTCTTCATGTGTTTGGAAGCTTTTTCCAAGTATGCTCGAGCTATTTCTGTGGTCTGCTTCCATTCCTTTGTGAAGTTGTGCGCTTGAGGACTTTTCCCAGCATATGGGTGGTTGAGGATATGCGGCATAGACGGCTGTCTTTCGCACACAATCTCGAAGGGGCTCTTCCCTATTGAAGAGCTCGTCTGGCCGTTAAAACATGATTGAGCCACATTTAACAGCTGGACCCAATTTCTTTGTTTGGCATCGACAAAGTGACGCAGGTATTCCTCGAGCATGCTGTTGAATCTTTCTGTTTGACCATCGGTCTGTGGGTGATAACTCGAGGAAATGTTTAGGCTTGAACCCAGAATAGAAAAAGGTTCAATCTAGAAAGTCCCTGTAAATCCGCCATCCCTGTCGCTAATGATGCTCGTCGGAACTCCCCATAGCTTTACTATATGTTTAAAGAATAATTGCACCGTCAGCTTGACATAACACGTCTTGGAAGTCGGAATGAAAGTTGCATACTTGGAAAATCGATCAATAACGACAAGAATGGCTTCGTGTTCCCCTATGTTGGGCAAATGAGAGATGAAGTCGAGCGATACACTTTCCCACGGCCTTGTAGGAATCGGTAGGGGTTTAACTAACCCTGCTATTTTCGTCCTCTCTACCTTATCTTGCTGACAGGTAAGATAGGTCTTCGTGTATTGCATCACATCCTCATGCATATTAGGCCAAAAGTATCCCTTTTCAGTAAAGCATAAGTCCGTTGCCACCCCATAGAGTATCGTGACACTCATATAGGAGCTTCTTTCTCAAGTCTCCCGTTCTTGGCACATACAGTCTGTTTCCTCTTGCAAATAACAAGTCCTCTTCGACCCATAACTGGCGGGTCTTCCCAGTCTTAGCCAGCTCGACCACAGTTTGGGCGGAGGGGTCTCTTTGGAGATATTCTCTAATGAGGTCGCGGATTGACCCGTCCACCTTGCTGGCGTGGATGTGGGCTAACATGCACTGGGCCGCATGTTCGCCCTTTCGACTAAGAGCGTCGGCAGCTTCGGCTGGTTAAAGAACTGGCAAATGGCACTGTTGTCGGTCTTCACGACAAAGTACGAGCCTAACAAGTACTGCCTCCAAGACCTGAGGCAATGAACGACCGCTAGCAGTTCTTTCTCAGATACGGTATAATGTCGTTCAACGTTGTTCAACTTACGACTTTTGTAAGCAGTAGAGTGGTCGTCTTGGAGAAGAACGCCACCTAAAGTGTAGTCTGATGCATTAGTTTCTACTTCGAACGGTCTCGTCACGTGGGCTAGCCCAAGTACTAGGCCTTTCATCATGGCCGCCTTTAGATCTTTGAAGGCGTCCTGACTTTCCTTTGATCACATCCAGGTCGTTCCTTTCTTCAGTAACTTTGTCATTGAGGTGGCTCGCCTTAAGAATCCTTCGATAAATCGACGGTAATAGTTAGCCAGCCCCAAGAAGGAGCGCAACTCAGTCACAGAGGTAGGGACTCTCATTTCTTCGATCGCCTTTACTTTATTTGTGTCCATACCGATTTGCCCCTATTCGATCACGTGGCTAAGGAATGTGATCCGCTTTTGTGCGAACGCAAACTTTTATTTCTTCACGTATAACTGATTCTGCCTTAGTTTGTCGAAGACCAATCTGAGGTGGATCTGGTGTTCCTTCAACCCATACCTCGTTACACAAGTCGTCTTAGGCTCGTCACCTTCCGCAATACGCACTTGGTAGTAGCCAGACCTGAGATCCAATTTTGTGAAGTATTTAGCTCCATGTAATTGGTAAAACAAGTCGGTTATGATTGGGAGGGGTATTTGTTGCGAACTGTGACTTTGTTGAGGGCTCTATAGTCAATGCACAGACGCAACGTCCCATCTTTCTTCTTCTGAAATAGCAATGGGGCTCCAAAAGGAGCTTTAGCTGGGTGGATGAACCCAGCATTTAACAACTCGTCCAGCTGTTTCCGGAGTTCAGCTAGCTCAGGCGGAGCCATGCGATAAGCATTCTTTGTTGGAGGTTTAGCCCCTGGAATGAGCTCGATCTCCTGGTCAATCCCTCGTCGATGGGGTAATGTCTTTGGTAAACTGTCTGGCATTATGTCAACATATTCTCTCAGGACAGCTTGAATTTTGGGTGGGACATCTCTTGCCTTCACAGTCTGTTTGACCATCGGAATGGCCATGAAGGTGGGTTCCTCCCGGTTGAGGTCTTTCGTTAGCTGTAACTCAGATATCATCCTCATACCACTAGGCTCTTTGATGCTAGCGGTAACCACACTAGGATTACTACTAGTGACGATCATGCATTTGGCCAAAGGCATCGATATGACTTTATGCTCGATGAGGAACTCCGTCCCCAGTACAACGTCGAAGTCGTCCATGCGAACTACTACAAAATCGACACTGCCTATCCACGTTGCCAATTTCAACAACACTCTTTTAGAAACTTCTACAATCGGTAGAGCTTCGGAATTGATGGCCTTCATCTTGCCTGTATCCTTCTTGATGGTCAATTCCAGTCGGCGGGCTTCCTACTCCGATATGATGTTGTGGGTTGCGCCTGAATCCACCATGGTGCTCTTAGCAGGTTTAGAGTTGATCGTAACATCTACGAACATAAGCCCCTCTTTCAGTGTTCCTTTGGGTCCATTGACCCTCTTTTGAATGGCGGATATGAATTTTAACTCCCCCATTCTTGGTGTTTTTTCATCTTCCTCCTTCTCGCACTCCGTTTCAACTTCAGGTTCATTACACGACTGAACGGATGCTTGAAAGGCAGTAAGGGCGGCTCGGTGCGGGCATTTAGCTACCTGGTGAGGGCCCTTGCACAAGAAATATGATATTGACTTTTGAGCGTTTTGATTCTGTGGATACGGTCCTCGAGAAGGACCGACGTTTAGGCCTTGGGGCCTCTTGTCAGCTCCTCCACTCTTTGGGGTAAAGGGTTTGAACGTCTTGTTTCCCCCAGTGGGGTTTGGAGTGTTCTTTTTCGGTTGGGACGCCTCACTGCTATAGTCTAGTCATCGTTCGGCAGCGGCCATGGCGGTGGCAAAGTCTTGCACTTTCTGTTCATACAACTTTGTTCTGGCCCACGATTTCAACCCTTCGACAAAGACGAACACCTTGTCTTTCTCTGACATGTCACAAATATCCAGCATCACAGCAGAGAATTGTTTCACATAGTCCCGAATTGTTCCAGTTTTCCGGAGTTCACGTAGCTTCCTTCTAGCCATGAACACGACATTTTCGGGGAAGAACTGACCCCTAAATTTCTTCTTAAGATCATCCCAGTTGTTGATCGTGCATCGTCCATTCTGAATGTCGTTGACTTTAGACCTCCACCACAGCTTTGCATCATCAGTAAGATGCATGGTGGCCAAAGTCACTTTCATTTCTTCTGAAGTTGTCCCAGTAGCCTTGAAATATTGTTCTACATTGAACATGAAGTTCTCGAGATCTTCTGCGTCTCTATTGCCATTAAATGGTTTGGGCTCTGGGACCTTGAGCTTGTTGAACCCCATGTTTGCTTTGTTGGGAGCTTGATTTCCCACAGCTCGCATGGTCAGGTTCACTCGAGTGCTTATTTCAATAATCTCAGCTCAAAGGGTGTCTATGGTTACTTTGACGTCCTCCGTCATTTCATTAAACAATTGCATCATTGCCAATTGCGAATAGTTTAACTCACTCATACGTACTTCTATCTGGGTGGTTGGGTTCGTGGAACTGTCTCCACGTTCGAAGCTACCAGGACGTGTAGCTTTGCTTTTTAGGGCCTCAACCCTTGTAGTTAGATCTTGTATCGGTAACCCGTCTACTCGGGCATTCACGACGTCTATTTCTCCAAACTTATCGGAGAACTCATCAACTCGCACCTCCAGCAGACGAAGGGTATCTGGAACTTCTCTTAGATAGAGAAGTTGTTCTTCTATCTCTACTAGTCGGTCGACGTGCGACTTGCTCAGTTATTTTGTCGCCGACATGGTTCTGGACTTTCTCGGGTCGATGAGCTAACTAAGCTCTGATACCACTTGTCACAATCTCACCTTTTTAACACAGCTCGAGCGATTATGCGGCACTTGCTCTAGCTCAAACGAGCAAGAAAGCTTTGATTGCAAGAAAGTATACAGCACTTGGTCGAGGGGAGGTTTGATGACTACTTGGTCCCCCCTAAGGTACATTATAAGGCATTTTTGGTGTGGCAGGTGTAGACATGCAAAGTGGCGATGAGTCACTCGGTGGCCTAGAGGCCCTGTGTGAACTCTGATTGGCTTGAAATTTGGCGTGCTTACATATCTTACCAATACACATCTAGTTCCAAAGCCGCTCGGCCAAGTTCCACCTACAACCCCAAAAACCCGATACAGACAAACTACATTAGAAAGCTTTAAAGACATGAAAGTAAAGCGAGTGGTGAGGATGACAATGGGTAACACACCCTGGACAAGCATGGCCACAATACTTGGCACTGACCAGGGCTCGGGTCATTCGACTCTGCATCGACAGACTACTTAAAGATATAACCAGACTACAGGCGCGACTCTACATCGACAAAATTGGAAAGAACGATTAAACAATCTCAACACGACAAAACCAAAAGCGGGTCAATTGACCTAATACAGTTAAAACGTAAAGATGGAGTAAAGTCAAAAGCCAAACGGCGGCAGGTGTAAAACCACTGGCCATAGCTAAAAGGTTAGAAACCTATGCAAGTAAAGGCAACAAAATCAACTCCATCAGGGTTAGAGCCGTAAGCCAATATTTGTTGGTAACATAGGGTTAATTGGTAATTCCAAAACGAAATACAAATGAAAGGGCGAACGCCATAAAATTTGTAAAAGCACTAAACACAGGCAAAGCAACTCGCTACCCTCTCAGGCAACCCTACTTGTAACGCCCCGTGTCCTTCAGGTTAGTTTAGTCTCGAATTAGGAGATTTTCATTTAATTCTAAATTAATTTTAATTAAATTTATGTATATCGTATTGCGCGTGATTGGTTTTATCTCAGGTTGGGTTGGGTTTTTCTTTTGGGTTTTGTTTATGCTGGGCTTTTAGTTGGGTTGGTTTGGTTTTAAAACAAAGGGCAAAATAAAAGAAACCCTAGGGAAAAGAATCAAATTATCTTTTCCTCTTCCCCACTTTCAACCGCTGTACCCCCGCCCACATCGTTCCTTCTTTTTCTCCGTCGACTACCATTCCTCGCCGGCGCCTTCTTCGTCTGGCCAACAGTTCGTGCGCACAGCATCCTTTCGCAACAGCGGCGGC